ACCCATGAGGAAAAATAACCCATCCAACACAGAAGCACAAATCTGAGACGTGAGAAATGGCTCAATTTAAAGCCAGCCCTTTCTTTGATTGCTTGTTTCAGGAAATGTGCCTCCACACCTCAACATTACCCTAATTCAGAACTAGAGTGGGTGAAAAGGACAAAAAATGGTAGTGTCTCAAAATGTTCTACCTCCATTTTTGTCCATTCAAAAAACCCTGTTCATAATGTTAAAGTGAAAGTGAAATTAGCATAGACTTTAGGGGGACTAAGTGGACTTTCCTCTCCTTTCTGCCCTGCAAGCTACTCCATGCTCTGGTAGAAAAATTTTCCCAGGCAGAACAATACTGAAACCAACTCCTGACCATCCATTAATGAAGCAACATTAATGACAGCTGTTCTTTTCCAGAATTTTTTCTAAGTGTCAGAGTTTTTATTTGACAAAGACTCTCTCCTTTTGCCAAAACTTTATTCAGTCTCCTCTGAGTCCTCTTCTTGACCAGGCCCAACCTTGAGCTTATGTTCTTTTTCTGTTCTAGAACGTACTTTCAGAAAGAATCGGTTATCTCTTTGGCAGAAATCTCCCACCCTGGCTATCTGTTGTGGTTTCATTTCTGATGTAACAAAATATCCTGAGGGAAAACAACATAGGGGAGGAAAGGGTCTGTTTGGGTCACAATTCCAGGGTTTGGTTCACTATTGGAGGGAAGTCAAGGCTGGGACTTAGAGCACTACATCGATGGTCAGGAGCAAAGAGAGAACAAATGCATGGATGTTGGCATGCTTGCCAGTGTTTACGCTCAGCTAGCTCCCTTCACTCCTAGACAGTTCAAGGCCCAGCCTAGGAAATCACCTGCACTCAGGGTGGGTCTTCCCACATCAATTAACAATCAAAATGATCTCTCATAGAGACCTGGTCTAGCAATTCCTCACTGAGACTTCCATCTCAGGTAATTCTAGTTTGTCAAGTTAACAATTAAAGCCAACCAACACAGTATCTAACCACCATTGATATTTTATTATCTAGCTTATTCTGAGTAATAATCCCACGAAGTCAGTTTAGCCAGAATACCTTTATCCTCAATGTTTCTTCTGGGCAAGTTTCCATCCTCAGCCCTCACCCTGCTCCTTGGTTTAAAATCTTTGCTTGTCCTTATCAGGGGGTCAGAGTTGAGTCCTAGCCCCTCCCCCAACATAAGACCAGATTCAATGCCCTCTCTATTGAAGAAGTCTGCCTTGCCATCCTTAACAAGTACCATGTACTGTTTTTTCTTTAGCATGCTCTAGTTGCTTTATTCGCTGTAGAACAGAAATCTACATGTCCTTTACAAGTTTTTAGGAGGCTTGCTTTCTCTATAGTCCACAGGGTCAGTGTCTTCATAATGACTAGATGCAGAAGACAATTCTCAATACCTTTTAGCACATAGCACTGTAAACTCACCTGTGACTTGTTCTCCCTTAGTTCCTTTCCTGCTTTCGAGATTTATCTTTCTCCTTGGTCTTTTTCTGCATCTTCACCCTACCTCTTTTGTAGTTATTTAGACCTAAATGGTCACTTTTCCTGATCCATCTCATTTACTCTCATGACTTCTCCTGCCTTCCAGAACCATTTCACACCTCAAAACATCAGTCCATGGATGCTTTCCAGCAGAATCAACTAGGGTTCTTGTTAGAAATATATGACCCTGAACTAGAAATTTCTCTGAATTTTAACACAGTTTTAAGGAGAGGATCACATTGAAAGATCTCCAGGGGACTGACAAGCAGATAGTCTAGGTGAGCATTATTGCAGAAGTTGCTGCTAATGTTTATATTCATTTCTTTATGCAGGCTTGAAAGTTTCCTGAACACTACCCTGGTCATTCTAACATGTACCCCTCAATCAACTCACCACAGCAGTGTTAAGACTGAATGCTCCCTGTGTTTCTCAGCTGATGACACTATGCAATTAACACCATAGATACATTTTTGTTTTCTGTTCTGTCCTTTCCTGGCCTCTCTCACCTCTGCATCTAATTGGTAGAATAATCTTGCTAGCCAGGTTTGTGAAGTACCATCAGAACCTAGGGCTGTTCACTTACTGCACTTGACTGTAATAAAGGTTTCAGACTTCCTTAATTTTGTGTCTCTTATCTCCAATACACTCTACATTTCCCAGGGCCAAAATGCTGTGGAGAACTCTCTGTGATAACAGAAATGCTTTGTTTACATTGTCCTAGATTGCAGCCCTCCTCCAACATGCTTTAAAGAGAACTGCAAATGTGACTTTGTATGACTGAAGAACTGAATTTTAAGCAGAAATATATTCAAAATTTATGTATAAATAACTACAACAAGAAGTAAGAATGAGATGCAGAGAAAGAACACAAGACGGATAAGTCCAAAAAGGCAGCAAGGAGCTAAGGGAGAACCAGCAGTCCCAGGTAGCACTGTCTACAATGTCTGAGCTACACAGCAAAACACCACTAAGCTAATTAATTACTATGGCTCTTTTCCTAGCCTACCCATTGCTTTCAAAGGACTCAGTACTTGTAACATAATGTCTAGAGTTGGTACTAAAGCACTGAATGACATTTGTAATCCAACTTCTTGCTTTTCCACCATCACCACCATCCTTGTCTCTAATCCACATGTACTCTAATGCTGCAGAACCCTGCTTGTCAGAAGTAAGTCATTTCTCAAATACCCCAGCTTTTGAATCCACCCTTGGCTTTACTTAAAATGCCTATCCTTTATTTCTTTCTTTTCAAATGTTCCATTTCTTTGAAGAGACTGTAGAGTGTAGGATGGGACTCCTATATGGAACCTCACCCACCCCCAGCTCAGCGGCCATTGCAGAAGAGGAGGCAGAAAGATTGTAAGAGCCAGGGATGGTTCATGAACATATGAGGTGGTGGCTTCCAGGCCAGTGGAGGCTTGCTCATGTGCCCCTGCGGCAGTGGTGGTATCCAAGGCAGGACCCAGGTCAGCTCAATTAAAAAGGGCCCATAGGGGAGGTGAGAAATAGGTGGCAGGTCAGCACTAGATCGAGAACCATTTGAGACTGGTTGCTGCTGGGTGAGGAAGAGTATGACTTACATACGACCACTGGATGGGCTGACTAGACTCCAGTGGACACATTTACACTGAAGGACATTTGAGTACAAACACCTGAATGAATAGGATTCAGCATGTATGGCAGAGTGCACAGGGTTTGGGGGGCGGGGGAGGCATAGATGGGGAAGGGAGTCTGGGTGTGAGTGAGAACTATTGTATGAAATTTTAAAAGCTCAATGAAAAGAAAAGGCTTTTAACCTAGCAATAATCAGTTGCCAATATTTCTTTAGCTAAGATTTGAGTCTACTGTTCATTTCCCCAGTTCTGTACTGGGTTTTCGTCTGCCTGAGTTTTCATGGGACTCTACTCTCAATAGGCTGATGAGACCTCAGTGGATGGATTTGCACTGGGGAACGTCTGGGGACACTGACTTGACACAGTGGCCTTAACACAGATGACAGAGTATATGAGCTGCAGTTGGGGTGGGGGGGGAATTGGGAGGGTGTCAGAAGTGATGGGACTATAAAGATGGTTAAGAATGTTTGACATATTCTGTACGAAAAACAAGAATCAATAAAAACAAAAATTTTTTAAAGAAGTTCCATTTCTCAAGGCCTAATAAACAAAGCCCAGAAGTCATCCTGGTCAGGGAGATCATCCTCTTATCTCTGACACTGGGCAAGGCCTGGTGGCATCTCTCAGCCCAGTTTTCTCACCTGTAAAGTGGTTAGATAACATTGCCTTTTTTATAGAGTTGTTGGGGGATTAAACGATTGCAATTTTTCGACACTCCTACTGGGAAAGCATGAAATAAAACCAGCTGTTATTATTCTGTTCTTCCCTAACAGTTATCATGTGATGTTAGCGGTCTTTCCAAATTGAACTGTCTCTGTCCTGGACACTGAGCGTTTATTAGCAGCAAAGCCAGGTCTTGTCTTATTCATTACTGTCTCCTGGAGATAGGCTGTAGTCACTTGACAAATGCCTCAGCTAAGCAGTAATAAGTGAGTCAGTGACTCACACAGAATGTCCAGAATAATTTTTAAGTATGTCTTTTTTGCATGAATCTTTAAGGAGTAAATAAAAGAACTCCAACAACTTTTTTTAAAGGTGTTAAATATTTCTTGTTATTGCCCAGAGAGAGTGGTATAAGTCAGTCCTTAAAGTGGGTGCCTACTTCTCACTTGCCTGAACTACCAGCTCCAACATTTTTCCCCCTATTTTGACTTTCCTTTCTGGGCCCCCTGGGTCCTCTGCCCCCTCCCCTTCCTCATAGGGACAAAGCATTCATCACTGTTGCCAAGGCAACAGTAGGGATGCCTTATTCCTCACAGCTCTGCCTATCTAAGCTCTCCTCGCCTTTGTCGGCCAAGCTGTCTGAATTCTCTATAAGTCCTCACACACCGTTAAATCAACTGTCTTCTATATATAACTTCATTCACTATTTTACCTGATTTTTAAGTGATCTATAAAAATTTCTTCCCCTGGGAATGGCCTTTACACGACAATTTTCTTGAATGTCCCAGACATTTTTCATCCCTGGGAGTAAATATGAAAATTGCCAGTTTAGCTTTTGTTAAGTGTGCACAGCCGACGTGCGGGTCAATTTTAAAGCCCGCACTAGAGCGTTCATAATGGATTTCCCTTTTAAAAGCACAGGAGACCGAAAATAAACCTGACAAAAGGGCAGCTGTAGAGTTTTAACATGTGGAAAACTCCACAGGCGGCAGTTATGTAACGGGAAAGGAACAAGATAAATATTTCACACCGTCCAAGGAACTTCCAACTCTAATATATGAAAAAGTCAAGACAACAGAACACACCTTAATTCTCCAAGGGGGGAAAAAAAAGCAAAACAAAACACACCACAACACACACACACACACACACACACACACACACACACACACACAGAGGTCAAACTGATGCTAATTTTTTTTTCCGCCCTTTCTAGCGTCTTAGGCGGAGCTAACAAATCCCCTCTCCCGGAGCACTTTCCTCGAGATTTCGCCCACCAAGCAGAAATTTTCCAAAAAATAAAATCTCCCGCCCAGGGCTGAAAACTGAAGAAGTTTTCTTTGGAAAAGAAGAGTCGCGGCGAGGCCGACGACGCTCCCCGGACACGCAGGCCACCCGGCCCATCCCACCCCCCTGCGCGCCTCGGGCCCCAACTCCTCGCCCAAGGGACAGCTGGCTGCCGGGCGGGCACCAGACACAAAGCCGAACAGTCCGGCCGGGGGCGGGGGCCGGGACCGACCCGAACGCTTCCCTTCCCAGCCTGCAGCACCTCTCTCTTAGGACCCTGCGGACACCTCATCTTCGCCCACGCCCTCTCCTCCAGCCCCACCACCCTTGAAAAAGAACCGCTAGACCCCGTCCCGACGCGGGGAGACCTGCCACTCGGCGGCCCTCGACACTGACACCGGCGCTGGACCCGCCCCTCTGCTTCCTCCCCTCGGGTGCCTCCCGAGCTCCGCAGCCCCAGGAGGGAGGGTCGGGGTTGCTCCGAGCGCTCCTGCCCCGCGACCCTTGGCCACGCACCGCGAAGATGGCGAGGGGCCGCCACCGCCTCCTGCTGCTGCTGCTGCGCTACCTGCTGGTCGCCCTGGGCTGTAAGTCAGTCGGGTACCTCCACCCTGCTGCCCACCTACCCATCTGCCGACCCGCTGGACCAGCTTCCCCTGCCCTTGCCCGCAGCAATAGCGCTCAGGGTTCAGGGTCTGCCCCCACCCCCACCCCGGGTACCGGGCTTTGACACTCTGGGAGCTCCTGGGGAAATCCAGGATGCAGGGAGGCGCGGGGCGGGGAGACTGAGGTCTCAATTGTCTCCTAAGTAGTATCTGATTTAGTCAGTTGTAGTTCTAGAAAATTAAGGGCCCTCACTCGTCGAGATTCTTCTCTCCTTGCAAAGTCCGGATAAGTTTTCAAAGACCCAAAGACCGGACGTGATCAGAATGCAAAACTCATTACTCAAGATGCAGAGAGCCCAGGAAAGATGGCATCCTCAGGCACCGGCCACGCTTGAGTACCAGCAGCAGGGGGTCAGTGGCAGAGTCTCAGCTATGCGGGCGAGGTGCTTGGGGGAACACTTGCGAGGCGTGGGTGCTGGGGGAGGAGGGCGTCTGTAGCTGCTAAGTATCAGTTGCTTTTATCCTCTCCACCTGCAGTGTGTAGTTAGCGAAGTCTGGTCTAGCCACTCTTGCCAGCTGCCTTGTCCTCAGGGGACATGTCCAGCCAGCCAGCACGATGATTGTTAGAAAGACTCAGGAGCTGAATGAGCGAGTTAGCTTGGCCCGGGAGAAGTCCCAAAGCCAATTTCACGGATACCTTTAAATGGGATTTGCACGGATATTGGGCTCATGTGATTTAAAATCTTATTTTATTTTCTTCACGGTAACTTTTTAGGAATTTTTTTCTTTTTTATACTTTTCCATGTTTCCTTTGCTCTTTCTGTTTTCTTTCCTTTGGGGGTTAAAATGTGGTGCTGTTGCTGTTCAAGTTTTGGTTCAAGTTCTGGTCATATAATACTTATAGTATTTCTGGTCATATACTTACAGTATTTAAATTAATCTGTCTGATAAATGTCCTAACTCCTCAACACAAAGGCTTTTTCTCAGGCTCTCATAGCCCAGCCCAAACTGATGGGAGCTGTGTCCCTTAGAGCCTGAGGAGGGTGCACACTGTCTCAGGGAAGGGACAGTCAAGTCAGGAAGGCCACTGTGCACAATGAAACCTTTATGCAGTTTTGAAATATCAGTTGGTATCATACTGAACCTGGGATGGGTGTTTTCGTGATGGAAAACAACAATAGCACCTGCTGGGAAAGTTATGTGCGCCTTTGAAATCTTAAGTCTCACTTTTAAAAGACTGTGACTGCAGTGTAGAATTGTTCATTAAAAATAGAAAAGTTTTTCTCTGTTATTCCTGTTCAGCCATCAAAATAGAAACTGTTCACCCTGTTTGAAATTGTAGCCAAGAGCCCAGAAGCAGCAAATGCTTCTGAATGAACAGAATTACTTCATCTGAGTTCTGGGTAACTGATGGGCTCTGATAACCTGATTCATATAAGGAATATGTTTGGAAGTATTGTGGACCTTTTCTCGGTCATTCCCACAGTGCTAGAAAGCCTAGCATTTTAGGGGCATTTTCTTTCTTTTAATACATTTAAAACTTTTAGGACACTAGATTTAAAGAAAAACTGCAAAATTAGTATAGAAAGTTACTACATGCCACACTCCCAGCTGCCTCTATTATCAATGTCATATTATAATGTCTGGAACACTGTTTAGATGTTTCTCATTCTTACTGAGTTTCATTTTCTGTTCCAGGGTTCCCTGTTGCACTTAATAGTCATGTCCCCTTAGGATCTTCTTGATTTTGGCAGTATTTCAGACTCCCCTTGTTTTCTATTACCTTGACAGTTGATGGGGTGCTGGCCAAGCATTTTGTAGAATACTCCTCAACAGGTAATTCTCCGATGCTTTCTCATGACTAGGTGAGGTTAAGGGATTTTTGGAGGAAGAATGTAGAGAGGTGTCATTTTCATCCCATCATATCCAGGGAGCATGCTGTCAGCATAGCTTATCAATGTGAATGGTGGCCTTCCTTGCCTGACAGAGCCGGTGTGAGTCGGGTTTCTCCACAGATGCCCTGCTCTTCTGTCCTCACTTCCATTCTGTACTTTTTGGAAGGAAGTCATTATATGCAGCTCACATTCAGGGAAGGAAGCATGGTAGTGCATGGCTACAATCTCAGTACCCAGGGTGAGGCAGGAGGCTCATTCAAGGTTATAACAGGTTCAAGGTCAGCCTGAGTTACAGTAAGACACACTGTATAGAAAACCAAGAGCTACTGGGTAGAGCTCAGTGGTAGAGACTAAGGGCTGGAGATAGAGCATTTGCCTAACACATAGACAGACAGAGATATAGACACACAGACAGAGACACAGACACACACAGAGAGAGAGAAAAAGAGAGAGAGAAGAGAGAGGGTTATATTTCTTCTTTTAGGGTGTAATTTCATCATAAATTATTTGGAATTCTAATGCATCAGAGATGTCTCCTCCCACTTATTATATATTTACTTATTTTATCAATTATTTTGACATGAGCATGAGCTTATAATTAATATTTGTTTTTGATACAATACTATTTTATTCATTGAGGAATTAGAGGGTTTCTTATGTTATAATTATATACTCACCTTTTTAATATTCCTCTCAAATATAGCCACACCACCCCTTTTTCCTAATCCAATCATGTATAATTATACTTATCACATTCTTTCTACTATTTTCCAACATTTCCAATGTCTTTCATGGTAGTCTAGAGTTTTTAATAAAAAAATATTTATTTTATTTCATGTGTATGGGTGTTTTGCATGCGTGTATACTTCATGTGTGTGCAATGCCTATGGAGGCCAGAAGAGGGCATCCGATCCCTCCAGAACTGAAGTTAAGGAAAGTTGTTGGCCAGCATGTGGGTGCTGGAAACTGAACCTGGGTCCTCTGGAAGAGCAGTAAGTGCTCTTAACCACTGAGCCAGTCCCTTTTTCTTGCTTTGAAAGTATGAGTTCAATATCTCTATTGGTATCCAGACATTTGCTTATGTGTTCAGTTGATGTGTTGGGGTATCTGTGCCAATCACATTAAAAAGAGCAAAGATTTGTTTTGGCTCACAGTTTCACAGGTTTTAGTCTGTAACTGGCCTCTTCACTTTTGGCACTGTGTTGACATAGCACATCACAATGGGGAACATGGTAGAGTTGAGTTCTTTACCTCCTAATCAAGACTCAAGACAGGAAAGAATAAAGTTCCATCAATGACTGGAAGATCACCCTGTAGGCCTTGCATCTTAAAGATTTTTCCACTTCCCTTTAGTGCCACAGGTTCCAGGCAAAGCCTTTAACACGTGGGTCTTTAAGTGGATATTTATCCAAACTACAGACAGTTGAATTTTCTTTCCTTTTCCAGCAGGGAAGAGTTTCTTGATCTCTGCCTGCCACCCTCAAGCCCAGAGCTGAACAAAGTACCTGGCCAGTAGTAGATGTAAGCATAATCTGTTGATCAGCTTTCTTCATCTATTCAGCCTATAACAAAAGTACATAAACTGGGTAGCTTGGAAACAACAGATTTCTTTTTCCTGACAGCTGTCGAGGCTGAGAAGTCCATAGTGAAGACAAGGGCAGTTTCTGTGTCTGGTGAGGGCCCACATTATGGTTCATAGATGGTTCCTCACACATCTTCCAATAGTGGAAGGGACAGGGCAGTTCTCTAGGTATGTCTTTTATAAGGTCACTAATCTCAGGTGCAAATCCCCTCTCGACAGCCCCACATCCTAATGCTGTCATGTTGGTGAGTAGGTTTTGGCATATGAGCTTTAATAGATGCAAAGGTTCAGGCCATAGAAGAGGATGAGGATGAGGTAAGGCAGATAAACAAAATACATAGACAGAAGTAACGGATGTACTATAGCTTATGAGGTACCAACTTCGTGTTGAGTAGGTGGGGCATCACATTTCTGTGAAGTGACAGGCTGATGTTTCAGAAAACAATAGGAATGAGTGTTCAGCATTTGGAGAGGGGACTGTCTTGAGCTTTGGAATCTCTCATCCAGTGAGTTCCTGCCATTTAGCTGGCTGATGGCAGCTCATCTTCAGATCCAGATTAGACCCCCAAGCCAGCCACTTGGCCTGAATCTTTAATCTCTCAAAAAGTGGTCAGGACTGTGGTAGGAAAGAGGGATCTGGATCATTCATAACATCAGAGATTTCTGCCTCTAGCAGAATTGACCCAAAACAGGACTCTAGGGGAACAACACCAGGAAATGTCTGCCTTTTGTAAACATTGTCAAGAACAAAACATCACAACTTGCTGAAGAGAATGGTTCCAGCCCGGCAGAGTCTCAATTATGTGATGAACAAAGATCAAAATGGGAGCTGGTTGGTGGACCTGACAATCATTTCAAGACTATGTCAAAAGCTGCATCCTTAAAAGTCTCAAACAAGCCAGGCATGGTGACACGCACCTTCAATCCCAGCACTCGGAAGGCAGAAACAGATGGATCTCTGTGTGATTGAGGCCAGCCTTGTCTATATAGCAAGTTTCAGGCCAGCTGGGACTGCAGGGAGAACCTGTCTCAAAAAGACAAAAAGTCTCAAACAAAAAACTTCAGCCTTAAAAGAACAGTGAGTTCTCTTTGGCCAAGAATGTTCTCTTTGGCCAGGAACTCCTTTATCCTTTCAGCTGAGCAGTGTAGAGAATGGAGCCCATGGGACCTTGCAGATGTGCACCACCCATGGTTTCTTTTGCACTGAAGTACTCCCACAGGTCTTTTGTTTTTGGTGGGGAGCAGTCAAGAGCAGCAGTCTTTTTTTAAGAACACCAGGACTGTTCAGGTTGTCATTCAAAATAACATATTTTTTTTTCATCACATAGTGGTGATAGCCTTGCTGAGCCCTTTCCCTAGGACATTCCTGCAAATTTGGCAAGAGAATTGAGAGTGTGTAGATGAGGAGGCTTAGGACCTGGGTCAGATACTTCCTTTGCCAAAGGTAGGAAAGGAAATTATAAACTGGTATTGTGGCTCTTGCTTCCTGTGCCTGCTTGAAGATGTGAGCCACCTCTGCAGCCATGCCTTTCTGCCACGATGGACTCTTGCCCCTTGAAACTGTAAGCTTAAATAAACTCTTCCTTTTATCTGTGTATGTATCCATGTATCTATCATCTATCTATATCATATATATATGTATATCTGGAATTGTGTGACACTATTTCTAGACATGAACAAGCATCTGCTCACCCCAGATAGCTAACCAATGACAGACCAAAGTAAGGACAGCACCAAAATCCAACTTGGTGAAACAATGAGTTTTATTGGGGTTACTTACAGGAGCAGAAATGACTACAGGACAGCTGCATCCCCCCAAAACCACCCCAGCATGAGTGATGGCTCACAAAAGGTGGAAACTTAGAGCTCACTGCATGACTTGCATGCAGCTTGACTGGTTGGAGAGTATCTTTTCCAGG